CATGGCATTAGAGCTGCTACACCGTTGTCGCTTGCGAAATCAAAATGACGGTGCCTTCAGGGGAAGTTTACAGATTAAGGGGCGTTAATATTATAATGAGATCCCTTTGCCATGTCACCAAGGGAGCGAAATCAGACGCGCTCTTTTTTTCAGAGGCTTGCAGAAAAAGGCTTACCAAAACGAAGTTACTTAATTAATCTTTTTCACGTTTCCTTGGTTGGTGCACTGGGGACCTGATTATAGCACTTAAAACCTGGAAAAGTCAGATTTTCATGATATGTCACCTTTAAGATTGCTTGCAACAAGAAATAAACCCAATTTGAATGAATAAATAAATGTGCGAGTGTGAATGAATAATGAATGGATGTTCTTTGTCTGAAACTCAGGACTACCATTCAATGAGGTCTACTGTGCTAGCAAATTTGCAGTAGAGGGTGCTTGTGAGAGCCTGGCTATACTGCTCCAGCACTTCAATATCCAGTGAGTATTATATGTGCACAACTACATTTGCATAAGCAAATAGAACCATTTTGCTTATTAAATGTTCCAAAATGATCCTCAGATAAATTGCTACACTATCCTAAATCCATTACATCTCTCCCATGCTGCAGTGTGAGCCTGATTGAATGCGGACCAGTCAACACAGACTTCCTGATGAACCTGAAGAGGACTGAGCCCAGCGAGGAAGCACTGGAAGTTGATGCGCACACACGCAGCCTGTATGATCAGTACCTGCAGCACTGCCAGTCTGTGTTCCAGAATGCAGCTCAGGACACCGACGACATCATACAGGTGCTACAGCAAACCGCCAGCCTCTGAGTGAGCGTGAAAGAGAGAACGTCTGATTCCGAAAGATCAGGGCTTGATTCAGAGGCAAATAAATAAACAGATATGAAATATTGATTTGGGTTTAATTATTTTAGAATTTAATATTTATAAATCAAAATGTTTATAAATTAATCTTAAAGCTTTTGATAAGAACAAACAATTGGCCTAACAAAACGATGAACACAACAATAATATTAATATTACAGTAATATATTAATGTTCATCCTCTTTTTTTTTTTTTTTACTCCTCCGAGGTCATTTTCACTATAATAGCACATTTAATGAATGGCTGTGGTCTTCTTCATTGTGTCATTTAATTTATTAATATTTTGTTAATAAGGGATTTGTGTTTTTAGAATTTATTTTAATATTGTTTTTACTTTTAAGTAAAAAGATCAAATTAGACCCTTGGGGTAATTGGAAAGAATAGTGGTATGTTGTTATTGTAGTGTGAAACTTAGAATATATAAATGACTTTTGATATTATTATTATTAATCCATCTACTATCTATCTACATACAAATG